ACTGACATTTAATTTGCCAGTTTTAAATATCTTCTTTATTTGTTTATTCTGACTTAATTTTGTTGCTCTTTCATGGTGCTTGCATTCTTCAGAAATCTTATTTTCTACTTGAGGTTATATTTTTCTTGGAACTTATAGCTATTTGGGGCAAGATTGTGTTTATTACAGGAAGATAGATTTTGATGGATGTTGGGTTTTAGGGGTGGTAAAAGTTTTTGTTCTAAGTTTTGGTCTTCCAGGTATTTTGAGGAAAATAGGGACATGTCTTAGGATAGGGAGTCTTTGGGTGATGATTCCTCTACAACTATGCCCTGTTTGTCAGGGTTTCTTCTATCTTGTTTTCTGAGTGTTGTCATCTTTGTTGTAATTTTTAATTGGGAGCTCACCTGCACTTTTCCTTCTGTTCTAGCCAATTTCCAATATTTTATCTTGATGTTTTCCCTTTTTCCTCTGGGCAGAGACACTGCTTTTATATTCCACAGTAGCATAGGAAACATGTGGCAGTGTTGAGAATACAGTTAATAACCTTTTCCTCTGGTTTTTACTCTGCACAGGATACCTGAACTGCTCTTAAGCTGTTCTTTCTTCTGAAATGGCAGCCAACCTTCCCCCCCCCAACCCATGAAGGAATGATTTCTTACAATATCTTTGTCCCTTTTTTTGTTGTTGTTGTTGGAATCTGGGAGTCACCTCTTACCCTTTTGCTTCTGGTGATTTCCCAGTTGGGTTTGGAGAAGGCACACATCCTTAACTACCTGCTAATTAAATACTTCTTTTATCTAAACATCAGTGTTTTCTAAATCAGGTTCTATAAGCTGGAAAAATTAATGGGCCAGAGTTTGCCTTTGACAAATGAAAACCATGCAACTTCATTGACTTTACAGAGTAATTTTGTAGTTTGTTTTCTAAACTGTTATTTTAAAAACAGCAGGGAACAAACTCTCTGTTGCTTAGCAGTGACTTCTGATCTAATGCAGTGTGAAATATTTCTGTACTTAAAGACTACTATAGTTAGAATTGAAATTAAAAGCAGCAGCAACAATAATGACTGAATATTAAATTGAATATGCATATTTCTGTGTTATAGAACATTTATCATTAAGCAGGAATCTATTTCTGATTACTTATGGTTTTGTGTACATTTGCCTGAATACATTTATTGTATCAAAAACCTTTGTCATTTTTCAAAGAATATGTAACAAAACTTTCCTCAATCTCTAGACTAAGGAATTCCACTGTAACATTTAATTTCCTCCAGAAAATGTATTGAAACTGAAAACTTAAAAGACTTTGGAAGGTATATCAGTATAAGAAAGTGAGTAGAATTAGAAGAGCATGTTGAGATGGGGCTGCTCTGCTAGTATCCCGTTCTGAGGCCTGTATATCATCCAAGATCCACTTGTGAATCAAACTTTCAATTCAGCAAAATTATAAAATACTGTTTAATGGACCTTAGAAATATTCACAAATATTTGGAACTGCATGTATTACGTTAAATTAGTGAATGTTGAGTTCCTTGACAAGGAAAGAAATGTCACCTCAAAATGTGTCAAGCTGAATTTTGTTTCATTGAGAATAATTTTTTTTGGTCATTGTTCAAGTTTTTATTTTTTATTTGAATGGAAATGGATTGATAATGTTCAACAAAGTAAGGTCATTCTAACATTTTAAATGCCAGTTTTTCCTGTTTTTAGAGAGAATAATGAGCATATCACATCTGTTACAGCGTACCTTTTTCTTTTTCATCTCAGCTTCTGTGAGTGTCAGGAGGATAGATATACGTGAGAGAGTGGTCATTATTTTTAAATAAACTTATTATACTGTTGCTGTTGTTGCTTTCAGTGTCTTTTAGGTATAATTGGATATTTTAACTTAAGGGGAAAAAAGGAAAAATAAATTAAGTATGGCGTATATAATATAAATTTTAGGTGTAGGTCAATGGATTTAGCAGTTCAAGTAAAATACAGTAGTTGTGGCTTTGCTGACAGTCTAAATAAGAACAAATGACTTTGCTACCATTCATATAACAACATCCCTTTAAAATAGTCCAGACACTATAAGCTTTTTTCCTTTTATTAAATTTGGAAGTTGTGCTTGTTAGTTTCAAGATTTACTGCGGTCAGGGGTTGTTCCTTTGAAGTTTTAATTTTAGAGAGTTTAAAATGCTGTACATCAGTGAAACAGTTTTCTGTCTCTAAAGTCAGACCTTGTAAATAAATAACAAGAACCTTACATTTCACATACCTGACTGAGTGAAACAGTACAAAGGGTAGAGGCAAAATATCACCATTGGTGAGTCCTCACCCATGTGCTTATAACTGCAAGACACAACTCAGGCTTATGGGCAACAACAATGGGGTTTATTAACAAAAGGGAAACTTGTAAAAAGAAAAGGTTTTTAAGGCCCCAGTGGGCTGGTTGTCTTACCCCAGATAGTATCGAAGATAGTATCTACAGTGTCTAGTAGTCCAAAGCAAAGGCTGGTTGAGCAAGATGGTGTTGTATTATCCTTTCAACGAGAGCCTGGAGTTTGTGGCACACTAGTAAGTGGTGGACTACATAGTGGCGGTTGGAGGTGTCACTGGTGGTACTGCTGAGATGGCACTGCCAGCTGGACTGCGTAGTGCTGGATACCAGACTGCAGTGCCAGAAGTAAAAGCAACAGAAGGTGGTGCTGGAGAATCAGAAGGTGGACAGCTTTCAGAGGTCAGCAGTGCTGGTTAGCACTAGTCAGCAGGTAGCAATGCCAGAGGCATCAGCCACTACAGCTGTTAGAGATGTGCCAGGCATAAGTCAACAGCAGATAGCTCTTTTGGAGACAAAAAAAAAGCACACAGGCTGCATGCTACATGAGCCTCTGTCAGCAACTCCCACTGGGGTGGAGCTGGGCAGACATCACCATGACGGGTCTACCATCTGGCGTGGCTGCTGAGGTGGGCCTCTGCAACACTAGTCATGTCCCATGGTGTCAGCAGACTATGTGGTGGCAGAGCCAGAGGTCTGACACAAAGGTCTGATACAGAGATCTGCAAAGATATGTGAAGGTCTCAGGATGAGTGTGTCTGAAGCCATCTGTCTGATGAACAGGGTAGCTGACTGCTACCCTGGCTTATATCCCCTTTGGGGTCCCTACCTTTCAAGCCTAACTGGTCCATTTATAATCTCAGCTGTTTGATTGGTGCTGGTCAAGTGTGAATCTGATTGGTCCATTTACAATCCTGAATGGTCTCAAAAACCTTGAATGGCACCCGTGGGAGCACAAACCTGATTGATCTGTATTCAGTTACATAGTGATATTCAAAAGTGAAATTCCTGCCAGTACATGGAAACCTGACCTATGCTGAGGTCTGGTGGTCTTTCATAGGTGGTGGGCACTTAAGTGAGTTCTGGTATGCTGGTGCCCTCAGAGCAATTGGAGCATGGGCAACTGTTAGGAGCTCACCAGGCTGGCCCAGTGGTGCTATGGACCTCTCTTCCTGTGCCTAGCAGTAGGGCAGGGTAAGTTTCTCCCCCATTACTGGAACTGCAAGGCTGGCTCACAGGCTGCATGCTACATGGGCCTCTGTCAGCAACTCCTACTGGGGTGGAGCTGGGCAGACATCACCATGATGGGTCCACCATCTGGCCTGGCTACTGAGGTGGGCCTCTGCAACACCAGTCATGTCCCATGGTGTCAGAGGCATGGCTTCTGTTACAATAGTCCTTGTAAAACATGAATTAGAATCAAGTAATTTCCCTTATGAATGGATTCTCATGTACTTACAATACAATCTAAATTTCTTACTCATGACTTACAGAACTGCAGCAAAAACAGGTGCTATCTGATAGGTATCTATGGAAACCAATCTTTGAGAGACTTATCTTAGAGCCTGCTGTCCTGAAATGAATGGATTTCTATAGATAGTATGAAGGATGTATCTTGAAATTACCTTTTTCCTATTTTCCATTTGTTTAGTTGATATATGAATATAATGAAGGAAGGTAGCACTATGTGACTTTTAAGTTTTTATTAGAGATGCCATTTTGAAATAATATTACATGGTGAATAATAGCATGGAGGTACTGATACCTAGTCAGTAAGACTTAAAATTTGAAAAGCAGGAAAGAATTATTGTTTTATAAAGATAAAATTGCCAATTTTTGCAAGTTACCTTTCTTTTAATGCATTGCAATGTAACTTTCATCACTCCAGTACAATTACTTTCAAATTAATAGTGACTATTTTTTCTCTTCTGCATTGATCTTGCTAAGTCCTCATCATGCTGGACTCTGCATAATATTGTTACCTTTTGTTTCCATTTCTTGTATGCTCTTGGTATTTCTTACCTTTCTAAGTGTTTGCCTAGTCCTTATACTGCTTCATATCATTTTTCATCCCTCCACCCCCTTTTTTATCTGAATATTTTGATACTTGTTACTCATGTTCTGCTTCTGTATTTCCAAAACCTGTACTCTCATTTTGGGGGGAGGAGGGTCATCTTATTTCTTCACACAATAAATTCAAGCTAGGGTTGTATCTCTTAACTACCCATTTCACTGAGTTTGTTGACTAGTGCCGGGAAGTAGATACTTTGGTATCTGTCTATTTTTTTTTTAAGTTTTTGTACCAAACTATTACCACATAGTTCTCATATCTTTACATTCCTTTCCAGGGACCTAGTGTGTGATTGAGTGTTTTGAGTTGTGTTAGGCATGGTTGTCAGTAGTATTTAAGTAACCTTTATCTCTTGAAGAGATGAGTTTTACACCTGTAATTTTGTCTTGTGAAACATGAGAGTGAGTGAATGGGACAAGAGTCTTATTTCATTCATTTTGTATGTCTAGCATAGCTGCCAAAAGACTTTCAAAGTTCTGTGAGATCTTTGATTATTTCCAATTGTGACCAGTTTTCTTTTTGATATGGAATACAGACTTTAGCTCATTTATTGATAACATTAAAGGAATTTTAATGGGTGTGTTTACAAAATTGATATATAAGATATTTTTTTCTTTCTTTTTAGGTTTTGGGAGGAAGGATGTTGTAGAACACTTATTACAAATGGGTGCTAATGTCCATGCTCGTGATGATGGAGGTCTCATCCCGCTTCACAATGCCTGCTCTTTTGGCCATGCTGAGGTTGTGAGTCTGTTACTATGCCAAGGAGCTGATCCAAATGCCAGGGATAACTGGAACTACACCCCTCTGCATGAAGCTGCTATAAAGGGGAAGATTGATGTGTGCATTGGTAAGTATTATTTGATGATACTTATAAGATTAACATACTTATAACATTTTAAGTACAGCTATATTATTCTCTCTCTTTTTTTTTTATTGTGGTGGAAATGGTGTTCCCTCAAAATGAGTAGAGAAGGTTTTAGTGCTTCTTACTTTTACATGTGTTTCTTTTCAGTCATAAGTGACGGAGAGAGAAGGTAATCTAAAGTTGGTTAAGAAAAAGATTCACAACATTAATTCTCCAAATGCAAGTCAAATGCCAACTTGTGTGGAGCTAAATTTTGATGAATAACTGTTATAAAATTTAGTCAATTTATAATCTCTTTAAAAGACTGCAAATTCTCCATCCAAACATAAGTGTGTCATTATAAAGTACCAGCTCTTACAGAATTGGAATGACATTTTGGGTACTTTAGATTGATTAAAAGAAACTCATCTAGTATTAAGGCAAATACTTTATGTTACTAAAATTGAACTTCAGCTATTTTGTTAGTACTGGAAAATTTTGAGTAATTCAAATATAATAATTCAAAGTTTAATATTTTCAACATAAGCCATTGTCTAGAGAAGAAGCAATTTCAAAAGATTAAACTTTTCAACCATTGAGGTTATATGAAATTGTACCCAATTAGCATTTTTCTCATATATGTATTTTAGAGTTTGCTTTAGTACACAAAATATTTTATTTTGAAGTCAAAAGCAGGCTTCTGGAGAACAAGCATAATTTCCCCAAGTGTGTTACTTATTTCTGAAAACGCAAGATGATAGATGTTTGTTTAGTTCATGGCAAATTTATTTACATAATTGTTTTCTTCCTAGATGACATCTATTTTAGTTTAATCAACGATCTTTATGATAAAACTCAAATGTATATGTCACTTAAAAAGATATAGTGATGTTGCCATTAAGATTTTCTAGCCTCCAATACACACACACTCATATTATTTTTCCACAAACTATTGCAATGCCTGATGTCTAACTTCTTTATCACATTCTTTGATCCTTTGTCACTTCAGCATCCATTGACGTGACCCTTTGGATTCCATGCCCTTTTTGTCCTTTGACCCTTTTTATTTTCAGTTGATTGTTCCATTTCCTGTTATTTTTCTCTCTCTCTCTCGCTAGTGCCACCACATCCTAGACCAAGTCATTATATTAAATGACATTGAAAACCTTGAAATTGTAGCATATTTCTGACCATGAAAACTCTTTAGTTATTTGTAAGTTACTATGTGATAAGTAGTATTGAACTTGATATGTGTTTTACCTAATCATCTAGACTTTTAGCTTTCCTACCTTCATTTTTTTCTTGCTTCATTTCTGTTGTCATTGCCACTAGATTTTTTAATCCTTAGCCATCAATTTTATAGTTTTCACCTTCTTGAAATATCCATATTAGTGTTGTTTTCCTACTTGTTCTTCTTTGAGTATTTCATTTTATCAGTGCTTGCAATATTTTACTAAAACTTATATTCCTTCTCTCCTCCTAATCTTACTTCCCAATGTACATGTTGAAAATATTCCTTTTATCTAGGTTCTGTCATACGAAGAACTAGATACAGGATTTGAATTTTTAAAGACTGGATCCCCACAGTCCCACAGTCCTCAGTGGACTTGGGTGCATAGTGCTTTCATGTTGTTTCAGTTCTTGTGCCTTATAAGAGTTGAAGGAAGGGAAAGGGCACTGTAATTGAGGATACAGCTGTTATTAAAGTATGGAACATAGTTATGGGAGACAAGATTGGTTATAGACTCTCCTGTACACATTTAGGAACCTGTTAGGAGGTTTCTTCTTAGGTTTACTGAAATTGCCGATAGCTTGCGTACCATAATTTCTGAAATTGAGTATATTAGGGAATTTTGGAATGTTTCTGTGTGTTGGTGTTCTGAGACCAATTTCCAGTGGAGGTGTAGCATTTTCCCTACATCAACAAACAATTCTCATGTTCCAGCACTGTCTGAGAATTCAGCTCAATTCTGATACTCTTTACCTGGGAATAGTGTCAGATTCCAGTCTAAGGGCTCAGTCTCTCAAGACCACCTTTCACTTCAGATACCAGCTGCAAGCACTAGGCAAGATCCAACCTGGGCATCTGGGCAACTAGCTACAGATGGGAGGTTCCCATCATCCTCTCCTCAGACTTAGGTTCCTCTCTCAAGCCCAGATTATTATCTGTGATTCTGATCAACTGGCTATAAATTAGAACTCTCCAGGATTCCCTCCTCAGGCTTAATTAATTTGCTAGAGGGGCACCGAAAATTCAGGAAGGCCAATTACATAATAGATCACCAATTTATTACACAGACTTTTATTTAGGAATAGTCAGATGAAGAGATTCATAGGTCAAGGAATCAGAAAAAAAGTGCAGAGATTTCATGCTCTCTCCATGTACAGCGTTCTTCCTAAATCTTAACATGTTAACCAACCCAGAAACTCTCAGAACCCCAATCTCATGAGCTTTTTATGGAGGTTTCGATACATAGGCACAACAGATTAAATCATTAGCTATTGGTAATTTGACTTAGCCTCCAGTACTTCTCTTCTGCCAGGAGGTGGGGGTGAGGATAGGATTGGAAGTTCTACTCATGTTGGTTTCCCTGGTAACCAGCTCCCATTCTCAGGTGCTTTCCAAAAGTTGCCTTCATTAACAGTCAGACACCTTTAACACTTAGGAAATTGCAAGGCCTTTGGGAGAGCTGTGAAACAGGAACTGTGGATAAAGTACCAGATATGTATGAGAGGTATATTTTGGTCAAAAATATATATACTTCCTATAAATCACAGCATTGCATTCTGTTAGGTAAATTTCCACTTTGGGACAACTGTATGAAGGAATTGGAATTGGAAGCTTTTTTTCCTTTTGCTTCATTCTGATGATTTTGAGAGATTAGCATACATAAGTAATTCTTAAGAGGTTTTTGCCAAGATGATAAGATGCTATACTGATTATTTTAAGAGTAATCATATCTTTATATATGATATAAAATAGCAGGTACATTTGAGATTTACAAAGTAGAACCATACCATTTTACCCATGGCTAAAGGAGGTAACAATAGATTGTTACATAATATGTATTCTGGACTTACACTACTAGCTAGAAACTGTATGAGACCAGGGTCTAGTTACCTAACCTGTGAAATGGGAATACTATCCATACTTCACAGGGTTTGGGGAGGATTAGCATAATACATGTAAAGTAATTAGAGGTATTCTGAACATTAAATATAGATTGCTGGTTTTTTAAATGCCAGTTTAAAAGTCTAGCCCTTGTATTTCTTCCAGAGGTGTTATTTAATTGCCAACAAAAAATTTTAAATATACAGAGTGAGATTATAAAGCACATCAACTTTAAATGCTATTGTAATTAAACCAACTATAATACTTAAGACACAGGTGATGGATTTCAAGAATGTTGACATAATTTTTATATTGTAATGAACAAAAGCTAATTTACTTTGGAAGTCAATACCTTTTCTGCCTTTAGAACTTATTAATTTCTCTCTACTTATCTACTCCCAGATACAAAGTCTCCAAAAAATCAAAAGATTTCTTCTTTTCAGAATATATGTCATTTGATATTTTAGACGATCCAAATGTTAATGCTTTGAAATTCCATTTGAGGAGCAAATTGTAGGAACACCTTTCAGTCAGCTGATATAAGATCCAGGAGTCAGCATGGACATTTGTAATTTTCTTTTTTGCTAACTAGTATCCAGCTCTTTTTTCTGATTTTGGAGATTTAAAACTCTGGGTATGTTACTGAATGCAGTGAGTCCATTGCTTGACATATGCTAGCCAACTGACTAGATCAGGTGAAAGAGTCATGGCATAGAACATTTTAATTACTTGAATCTAATAAGAAGGCAAACAGGGATTGCCCCCAAAGTACTGTCTTATCCTTTTAAAGGTAGTATTGATCCTTTTATAGGATAACTGGCATTTTGATGGGGGGGGGGCAGGGTAGAATGTCTGGAATCTTAGTTGACAGGCACAGTGTAGCATGACTAGATCATGAAACTCTGCATGTTCAGAAAAAGGCAATTACGTGCCCCCCTTCTTGGGTAGGGATTTTAGTATGCAAGTGAGTACTAATGAACATAAGGTAATGATAGGTCACTGAGAATCCTCTTTGTGCATGTTGTTTTAGTATTTAACCAGTTTGAGCCAGGAGGAGTACCTGAATCTTAATTAGATAGCTGTAACTATATCTCAGGGTTTTTCCCCCATTACTCGCTTTGCTTTTAAGCTTTCTTTTCTCTTTCTGGGTAATAGGTAGTTATTGTGGGGAGGAATACAGAAACTGGTAGAGTCAGACCTTCTTTCTACCCCTTGGCAGTCATAGATGACCTCAGCTTGGATAGCCCTTTCTGTAATCTGTGGAATTTTGAGTACAAAATTTTGGAGAAATTAAGTAATCATTAATAGCAGCTGATTTCTGCTGCTCTGTTGCTTTTGATTTGCTTTCTAAGATTGGTCCTCCTTCCTCATGTCAGTTCACTTGAAGGTAGACTAGTCGTTTTCTGTTACTTCCAAATGAATAGACCTGATAGAAGAGATCTTGAAAAGGTGGAAGTTCTAATATGGAGCCTCTGAACAAGTAAAGAAAGCTCCTGCATTTTTATAATTCCCACTGCTTTCACACTGTTTAACTTGTTTACTGCATTCCCATCTTTCCTCATATACTCTGTAATTCTCAAAAGAGAAAGGAACGTCACATGTTCCCTTTTGAGATGACTTCTGGTTTCCTCAGCATGGAAGGAAAAGCCTGCTGGCTTCTAGAGAAAAAAAATTCCAGAGATAGTAGAGATGCATGGGCTTCTAACACCCGTGGAACTCTCACTTTTTATTCTGGAATACCCCAGAATAAAGACCTGCAGCCCAGTAAAACAAGTGAAAATTTAATAATCTTTCTTTGTTCGAAGAAGGGAAGATTGAACAATTACAATATGTGAGAAATATTCCCTAAAACAGAGCAAAATGTTAGCAAATGAAGTCATGAAGAAAAGAG